CTATGAACAATCAACCACCATTCATATAACAGTTACATAGCTTTGGTTGTGATTGAGTTTTCAAGATGTCATCAAGTTACCGAATAATGTGCAAAATTCTCTGTTCCATGACCGATTATAGACTATATTACAAAATCGATATTGGATGAGAAGATTAAGATTAGTTTGATATGAGCACCACACTCTTTCTGAATAGTATTGAATTTATATTGATTATTCTACCTGTCACAAAGTAACAGGGTCAGGTCAAATATTAAGACAAAACACCCAATAATAGTCAATATTTTAACCACCTTGTGTAACCAATTTAGAATTACACAATTCGTGTGACACGGGGATAATTTAGACAGATGGACACCAACACAATTTAATAAAATTGCAGTGTTGTCCACGTGTTGATTTGATAGGGCGGGTCGCCATGGTGAAATCATATGCCGCCAGGCTAAATATCGTGCCACCAGGGTAAAATTCTTCAACGCCATGCTAAAATGAACAAATATAATCCCGCATAAGTATAAATTCAAAGTGTAAAACACTTTGAATTTATACTTATGCGGGATTATATACATTGGTGAGAGGTCGCATTTTACGTGAACAAGAACATGCACTAAGAAGAAAAAGCAAGCCAGAGTCGAAACAGGGTGTATCAGGGACTTGGTACAACATGTGCTGTGACAATTGAGTAATTGTCGACATCATTTAGGGATGCAATTGAACTTCAAGTACTTTGCGAAACTTGCTACGTGGCGATGCTGACATCAAGTGTATGTCGACCGAAGTTTGACCCCAAGTCACACACTGAACTGAACCTTAGCAACCTTTTTCTTTCATGGTCTGCGCGTCCACCTAGTAAAATTTTTCTTACCGGCGGTATGTCCGGTGGTACTGTAATAACACAACTTGTATGCAACTTTGTTTTGGCTTTGAATAATTCAACATCGTCTACTTAGTGTGCTGCTTTTCTAATAACGCAAATATGTTTTAACTCACAGATACCATGAACGCGAAGAGTTAACTGAAAGGCAACGTCGTTTTTTGAAAAAATGCAAGATTATGTGTGCAAGGTTAGATTTATAAAACGTACATGATCGCTTAACTCTGTTTTTTTAATAATCATGTCACGTGTGAAACACGTACACGGGACATTTTAGTTCGTCCATTTCTTGTTTACTGATCTTGAACATTTTGTCTGGAATGCAATACAGACAAAGAATAAACATTAATGATACCTACCGTCGTCAAATCAACAAGAGGGTTGAATCAGGAAGGCTCAGCTATTTTAAACTTTATTTAAGTGTAATAAACATAAGTGAAATGTATGGACGAGTCATAATACTTTGAAAGTTACAACATTTACTCTTGAAATTTGTGATAAATACATGCATAAAATGACAGAAAAGACACATGTCAGCGTCACATCCTGTCTGACATGGCACAACACGTCTGTTTGGTTTGCAAAAGGCTTTTTTTACTTAACACAAATCAAAGGTGTTATTGTCAAACTGAATTGGTATATCTAATCAGTGTTCTCCCCAGGCCTCTGAAGCAACACGGTATCGTGACGCTTGGACACTCGGCCGTGATGCTTGCCCTTTGTCCGTGACGTTTGGTCATTCGCCCGTGATGCTTATTGCTTGTTTTACAAGTGTCAGTCTCGTCTTGCACGTATTTAAAACAATAACGTGTATTGATCGAAAGGTAATCTCGCTTTTGTTAGCCATACAAAGACAGTGATAAAAACGAAAGTCTGCAATAAGTTGCGAAGTCTTTCAAGGGTGCAGAGCCTCAAAATCCCCTCCCCCCCAAAAAAAACTGAAGTAGCAATAATTGGCCCATTGCACGCAACGGCAATAATGTGACAAAACAAGTCACGGCGCACGTCTGGAAGATCAAACCCGATTTGCTGCACTCTGATTCTTTATCACTCAATCGCTGGTGACATTAATGACCCCAAAATTAAAAAAACAAAAACAAGTGCAATTAAGTCGCATTGGAAAGAAAAGTGTAAATAATTCAACAGCAGACGAGACAGATTAAGAAAAAACAAACCCTGACCTCTGAAAATACCCCATTCATAGGGTGTCTTAGTAGCGAAGAACACCGCCCTAAGGCGACATAATGCACGTTGCAACCTTGTGACCGAAGCATGCTGGGTTACAGAGGGGTTCTGATCGAGGTAACAAAGATGGCGGCGCAGAGTGCATGTTTTTCTGCGATGTTTAAAAACAACATCTCAGTGGCGATTTTGATGTATTGCCTATGATAATCGTCATTGAATCGTTTTAATAAACAATTTGTGTATTTTACACTAAAAAGTCAGATACCGATGATCGCAATAGCAGCGGTGAATACCCGTTCAACGCAATGCTGTCAGCTGACAATGTTACGGTGATTGTAGCACTACTCACATAGTATATTGCAATGAAAAACCGCCAACTATTAGTGCCGAACTGCGAACTGCCATTGTAGAATTTTTTTCTAATTATTGATTTATTAAATTCAACATATTTTGATATCTCGCCGACTTTATAAATTTAATCAAAAAATGTTTTCCCCGACGTTTCTATGAACCGACAGTGACATTGGCACTAAAACTTGAACACAATGATGAACCATGGATAACATTATATTCACTGACTGGCTATATGAAGTCTTTCAATTTGTTTTCCTTTTTATGCTGTTCTATTTCAAACTTTAATTGACTTGATACAAAAACATAAAATACAATGTAGTAAAATGATATAAAGTTTATCAAATATTAAAATATGTTTTTAATTAATTGTAGATTGACCAAATTTGTTGGAAAAAAATGATCATTATGCAAATATAATTATGCAAATTAGATGTATTGTTATGCAAATTGACCATGATGCTTGACATGAAGTCTGGGGAGAACACTGTCTAATATACGAATGATTACCGAATTTGTACAAAAATCAAAGTACAATTTGTATGACTTTACGTTAGTCAGTATTTTACCAAATCGTTTGTGAACTAAATGCACACATTTTTAGCCAACGACGTAAGCAAAATATTATACTTTGTATGTCGTACTATATCATTCTAAATAACTATGTTGCAACGTGACTACGTCATTTTTTTTATATAATTATATATTTTATATAATCAAAATGACATTGGACATAAAAAAATTACGTAGTTTTATTTTTTATTAAAAATGTAAAACGTTCGCCCAAATTCAAATACTGGAGTCTACAGACTAAGTCTTTTCGACCAGATTTGTTGTACACGCGATGACGTAACACAGAACACTATTGTTCTCTTCATTTGCATACCATAAAGCTATCAAAGTTAAAAACTTTTTCCGGGGGAGGCCCTCTGGACCCTCCCTCGCGGCTATGCACCTTCGGCGCCCGCCAAGCTAAATTTTCAACCCGTGAAGAACACTGAATTATATGCATATATAATTAGAAAAAAAACAACTTTAACCTAACTGATCACTGTGTTATTGTTTTCCTTGAGTGTTCATCACAATAATAAAAAAGACAA